GCCCCAACTCCACTCCTTCCCCAAAGTCCCCGCCCTAACTCCGCCCCCTCCCCTGAGCGCCCCGCATTCCCCCTCCTCCCTCCCAGCCACGCGAAAAGGGCTGCCTAAGTGCTACCGGCTTCATGGTTTGCCGGGCAGCCCCCAGACCCTGCGCCCCCGGCCGGCGCTTCCCCAGCGCAGCTGGAGCCCGGGAGGGGAAGCGCCCAGCTGAGGGCGCAGGGTCTGGAGGCTGTCCGGCAAACCGTGAAGCCGGTAGCGCTCGGGCTTCGGGCAATCCCCTTGCCTCCGGACCCTGCGCCCCCAGCCGGGCACTTCCCCTCCCGGGCTCTGGCTGCTGTGCTCCTCCCCTGACTCTTCGGCTCTGTTTAAGAGCTGAGCTGCCCGAGCGCTACCGGCTTCGGGCAGCCCCCCTTGCCTCCGGACCCTGTGCCCCCGGAGCCCGGGAGGGGAAGTGCCCGGCCGGCGGCACAGGGTCCGGAAGCATGGGGGCTGCCTGAAGCCGGTAGCGCTTGGGCAGCTCGGTTTTAAACAGAGCAGAAGAGTCAAGGTAGGGAGCACAGCAGCCGCGGGAGGGGAAGTGCCCGGCCGGTATTTTTCCCGGACATGTTCAGCTTTTTGGCAGTTCCCCCCGGACCGGGGTTTGATTACCAAAGAGCCGGACATGTCCGGGAAAAACCGGACGTCTGGTAACCCTATGTCCCGTGCTCCATGTGTTGGAGCCCACCGGATGGCCCGCCTGGGCCCGGCGGCACGAACCACAGCGGCCCCAGGGCGCCCCCCGCGCACGACACGCTGCTGCTGCTGGACCCGTCCCGGGGCCAGCTTTGGCTACCCGCTGCGGCTCTTCCACCTGGACTTCGGCATCAGCTTGGGGGCCGGGACAGCATCTACCTTGGTGAGCGCCTGCAGGGCCGGCCCCCAAACAAACAAACAAAAAGGATGGCCCGAATGCCGCCTCTGCAAATGTGCTGCCCCAAGCACCTACTTGCTTTGCTGGTGCCTAGAGCCGGCCCTGCCTTTTATGTTACTTTCTGCCCCCCCGCCCCCGCCCCTTCCTTCTCTCTCTCTCTCTCTCTCTCAGCTTTTCATCAAGATTTTGCATAACTAGTGTACTCTTCCTTTTCTGGAGTTATCAGGGGCAAGGACTTTGCAATAGCATTGAAAACAAAGGAACTCATTAAATATTTTTCAGCTCGTCAATCTAATAGTGATTTTTACAATGTTATCACCTTGGACTGTTAGATCAAAATATCTTCTTCTATCACCAGGTATTTTCTTAAATTTTTCATGTACCTCTATTCCCTCAGATAGTAATTTCTTTCTTGGAACCCGAGGTTGGGGGGCAGAATTAGTCTGGTTGGGCAGCATTGGAATGGTCCTGGGTTCTGCTGTGGGTGGAACCAAAAGAGCAGGATAAAGAGGAAAGACGGGGCATGGAATGGAAAAAGGGGCAGGTCCTTTGGGCTCCAGGACAAGAATCTTTTTATTTATTTTGGCTCTTAATTAATTAATGGCTCCATCCATTTTCTTCCCAATACTATTGGCATTTTTTACAGTGGAGTTGACCAATGTAGGTTCATTAATTTCTGATTGCTTTTAAAATCATCTGCTTTTAACACACACAATTTCAACAGTCCTTGAACCATATCAGCAGACCCTTTCTCTTTTGGACGAATCTCGTTTCTCTGTCTGATTCTCTTGCACTTGCTCATAACTCGATCTGTTTTCCTTAGTTAATTTCTAGGAACGCAAAAAGTTACAGGTTAATGTGACGTTTTATGAACTTGCATGTATCTTTTACATTGGAGCTTACAACTGGGGTAATTTTTTGTGCCCAATAATCACAACAGTGGGGCCCAAGTGCCGTTGGCACAGGCTCTGGGTGGCCAGCAGGAGGGTGGTAACTATTGGCCATCAGCACATGCCTCTGGGAGTCCCGCCATGGTTGGGACATTGGTACTCCTGGCAGAGGGCCTCAGAGGCCAGCAGGGATTGGGGCCTGGCTATAGGATGCCAGCCAAGGATGGGGCCTGGGTGCTGGGAGGCCAGCAGGGGGTGGGGCCTGAGTGTCTCCAGCAATGGCTCTGGGAGTCCATCGGGGGCTGGGTGCCATTGGCTGTGGGAAGCCAGCAGTAGGTGAGTCCCAGTTTCCATTGGTGGTAGTTATGGGAGGCCAG